CTTATTTTTGGCTTGCTGCTCTGTATTATGGGCTACATATCATTTCATATGTCACTGCCGCCCAATAAATACATACATAAACAAACAAACAAATACATACATACGTACATACATAACATCATTTGAACACAGCAGCTGTCCTTTGCATTGTATGAACATTTTATTAGGAATGAATTAATAGAAATTGTCCAAAATTGCTTGGAATAAAAGCTCTTTGCATTAACTTCCATTAAAAGTTACCAGTTAGAAAATTTGTTTTTACAGCAATGATATGCCAGTTTTGGAGACACAGCCTAGTTTTTTATAAGGAATAAAGTAAATTTGGAAAATGATCATATAAAATGATTTATGACACAAATGTTATTTGCCTATAAGTGTAAAAAAAATGAAAAGTAAAAAACGAGCATATTGGCCCTTTAAATGTGTGGCTGACTACTAATTTAATACTAAATCCTAGTCATTTCACTGGTGAATGATATTATGACGCATTTGGGAGAAGACACCCTGTCCCGCCTCCCTAAATGATATTGCAGCGTGGGAGGTTCAATATAAATAAACACAAATGAAAATGTAAATTAGCCCTGTTGAATAACTGCTCCTAACTCTCCACAGCTCCCACATGTATGATTGCATAATCCTTTATTCACGGTGATCTGCTGTAACTCATTAGGTAAAAAAAACTCATATATTAAATTGTGGCAGAATGGCGCCATCTGGTGGCCAAAAGCGCGTAAGTGCACTCATTGCCGAGAGCTGTAATTATGGAAATTCCTGTTTTGTTGTGCTGGTGCACTTCAGAAGTGGGTCAAATAGTTCCTGTATCCTCCAGTGAACACCTGTTCAGCTGTAAACTGAGCACTTACACCATTGCACTCCTCTATTTTTATAACTTAGAATTAATCGCAGAGTTAAAATAATGGTTTACAAACCAATTGTCTTCTCATGTTGACGTTCATGAAGCCATATCGCTGCTCTAAAGCAGTTCAAGAAACATATAAAACTGTTCAGCTACTCTCAGAAATGGTAATAAAAGTATTATTAGCCATCTGCTCTGATAAAATCCCCAGAGCCGCTGTAGGAAAAGCACAAAATCTCCAACACCCACAGAACAGCTTATTCAGAGCTCTCTCCCCACCCTGCGTTGTTGAAAAAAAAAAAAAGTGAAAATATAATGTGGCCATTTTTCATGTGTAATTAGGCAGTGAAATGTGATCCCTCACTGGAGAGAGGCCTCTTCAGGCACTCATACACACTCACACACACACACACACACAGAGCTAAGCGCAATGGCTTCCAGACTTCACTTCAATCTTTTCTGTCTAGACTCTACGTTGCACCTTTTCCCTGATCCCTCCTCCCTGCTCCACCACACACACTAAACCCCCCTCCTCCCTGCACACTCTACACACTGAATGCCCTAAGCTGGAGTACTTCTCAGTAGCTGAATCTGGAGCCTCAAGAGACATGTGACAAAATCATGCAGGCCAGATGTTGTAGCACAGCACTACAGCCAACGCGTGTGTGAATAATTGCACACTGACTCCTCTGAGGTGGCACAAATGTAAAAAAAAAATCATTTAGCAACGCATTCTGGTTGCAGACAATCCTCTTTTATTTCAACAAAACAGCCGTTGAGCAGAATACTTTAAAAACTTGTTGGCTGAATATTAGGTACACTGTCCTGAATGTATGCAGTAATGTTTTCTGTTACAAAGCATTGAAAAGTAACATATTGAGAACACATTTAAAATATGCCTCAGAAGGCCCTCAGTCTACATTTTCAGTCTACATTTTTCTTGCATTTTTGTTTTATTCCCTGAGGTCCACTTATAATGTCATTGCAGTTCTATGTCATTTTGTACATAGAATATTTTATTTTATTTAATTTGTAATTTTATGTAGTTTCATAACTTATCATGGCTATTTTCCAACCTTCCTTTATTTCTTTAGGTTGAGTTTGTTGCTATGCCTTCAAGTTTAATATATCACTGCTGTCGGAAGAAAACCTTGTATCTCCAAAATGGTAACTTTACAGGAGAAGGAAAAAAACTACGTTACTTTTAATGTAAGTCAATGGAACCAGACTTTTTCCAAGTCATTTTGGGCCGTTTCTTTTGGTTCATTCACCATGAAATTTACACACAATCTAAAGAGCAACAGGTGTTTTCAAATTAGGTCAAAAACTGAAAAATGACAAAAATGCAGATACAAGGTTTTCTTCCGAAAACAGCGATATGTAAATGAGCTCTGTTCTGATTGGCTGCCTTGTATTATGTCTTATTCAAAAGGTAGACTGGGCTGAAACACTTTGTATAACTTCAGTATGAATGGGCGGAGCTAAGCTGCTGTAGGCTGAATAAGTAGATATAGGTAAATATGTTGGTTTTTGTGACATCATCAAAATTATTAATGCAAAACAGGCTTAGTTCCTGTATATGATCTGGGAAGAGAATGGTATGTTTCGAAACCTTGCAGTGTCTACATCCTACATCAAAATCTTTTATTAAAAAAAAAATAGGAAAATTCTGTTTTTTTACAATATGGGCCCTTTAATTAGCCACATTGCTGTTATTGATTGGCAGTTACAATGTTTATTGACCTGCCTTTAAAAAGTGTTTTTGTTGTCTGTAATATCAGTGATTAAAAGTACTATTTTTGTCTGAAATAAAAACAATGGGTGACTTTAGAAAGACGACTGCAGCTTCAGGAGTACAAGGGATTTTTCCATCATATCTGTTTATTATCTCTTTATTTTGTGGTAAATAATATTAATATTGCATGATTATATTAACATAGAGATTAATACCTCATTTTATTATAGGATGAATCACTAAAACCTAGGTGTGCGATTTGCCTTTTACATATTGCTCCTGCTCCTGCTAAACTCATCCTACAAGAAAATAAAAATAATTTGTACAAACAATTTGACTATTAAATGAGTCTACTCAGGCTTTAGCAGAGCTCAGTAACACTGAGATTAATAACTGATCATCACATTGATTTATCAGTCTACTCAGGCTTTAGCAGAGCTCAGTAACACTGAGATTAATAACTGATCATCACATTGATTTATCAGTCTACTCAGGCTTTAGCAGAGCTGAGTGACACTGAGATTAATAACTGATCACATTGATTTATCAGTCTACTCAGGCTTTAGCAGAGCTCAGTAACACTGAGATTAATAACTGATCATCACATTGATTTATTACTCTACTCAGGCTTTAGCAGAGCTCAGTAACACTGAGATTAATAACTGACCTTCACATTGATTTATTACTCTACTCAGGCTTTAGCAGAGCTCAGTAACACTGAGATTAATAACTGATCACATTGATTTATCAGTCTACTCAGGCTTTAGTAGAGCTCAGTAACACTGAGATTAATAACTGATCACATTGATTTATCAGTCTGCTCAGGCTTTAGTAGAGCTCAGTAACACTGAGATTAATAACTGATCACATTGATTTATCAGTCCACTCAGGCTTTAGCAGAGCTCAGTAACACTGAGATTAATAACTGATCATCACACTGATTTATCAGTCTACTCAGGCTTTAGCAGGAACATGGAAGCTGTTCGTTAAGTTCTTCTTTAGAAAAAGCCATAGCACAGTGTATGCTTTATAAAGCAAGAAAGGATTAGGATGAATCTCAATCTCGATTATCGAAATCTGCAGCCTAAACGTAGCCTAACATTGTTAAAAAGGGGTTCTTCAGTGAAAGCAATGCTTGTATATGGAACCATGACAACTCAAAGAAGCATTCACTGCTAAGATGGCACATGTACCTCCACAAGGTTTTGATGGTCAGTTATTATATGACTCAATTCTTTTTCTTCTACCTGTATTAGTATTTTTGTGCATGATGACAATTGAGAACCTGTATATCTTTCTTTAAAGAACCCTTTAAATATGGCTCTATATAGCACCATAAAGGTTTCTGCTATTGTTACAAGACACAGAATTGTATGTGGTACGATATAGAATTATATGTCATCAATATTTAAGCCATTTATAATAACCAATACATTTTCAAATTAAACTTCACTATAACTTAAATACAGTTATTTTGAACTGAAGCAAATGAAAGTTGTTGAATAGCACGTACGTAGCATGGCGGCCTTTTAGTTTATTTTAGAATTACAGATTGTGTTTCAAGATATATTAAGGACCTTAAGAGCAGCAGCCTGAAGAAGCTATTTTACTGCTGAAGATGACTGTCTGTGTGTGTGTGTGTGTGTGTGTGTGTGTGTGAACTGGCTGCAGTAAACTCTTCGCTTGCTCTTTTCTACCATGATTTTTGTTTTCTTTTTGTGCAGAAGTACTCACTCTCCAGCTGCAGAGCTCTGTCTCTGTAAGCATTCCTGATTGGTTTGTCCAGTAGACAGAGCGGCTCTTTATATCAGCCTTCTTCGTGAACGTAGGCGCTGATATTTATTTCCTAACACGTTAATTTTTCCCTGAGGTTGACTTATGACGTTTGTGTGGTTTTATGCACCAAACACAGTAGTAATTCTTGTTTATATGACCATCTTCCAACCTCTTTTTAAATCCTAGAGGATTGGTTGCCCTGTATTAAGCCTTGTTTAAAAAGCAGCCCTCATTGAAATGCCCCTTATGTCTTCAGTGTGAATGGGCAACAGTGTAAATGAATTGTATTTTGTGACATCACAGAAACAACACATTCAAAGCAGCCCTGTATGGACTGGAGGGAGAACAATACGTTCTGAAATTTTTACAGTGTTTAAGATTAAGTGACCCTTATTAGTCCCACAACAGGGAAAGTTCACCTCCGCATTTAATCCATCCGTGCAGTGAAACACCACACACACACTAGGGGGCAGTGAGCACACTTGCCCCGAGCGGTGGGCAGCCCTATCCACAGCACCCGGGGAGCAGTTGGGGGTTAGGTGCCTTGCTCAAGGGCACTTCATTCACGTACTGTCGGCTCAGGGGCTAGGCTGGTTCACTAACCTCCAGCCCATGACTGCCCCCCACAGAGTTAGCACTGTGAAAGCAGAGTGTTAAAAAATAAGAACTCATCGACGTTCCCCTCCACGGAAATCTGTAGTAAAAGACGAAAGATTTGTGTGTGAATGAAGAGAAACCTGAGCTGATATCCGAGTAAAACCCGAGGTTATAAACTACATCAAATTCTTTCATTTCAAAAACATGACAACGCTTAGTTTTCCATGATATGGGCCCTTTAATGAATCTTGAATTGTTCATTACGAGGATTTGAAAAAATATTATGCACTTATTCAACCAATTTCTATGTAACAACTTATTTTCAGCAGTTTATTGTCAAATTGTCTCACTGAAATTTTGCTTGGTTTAAGAAATAATGCCTGAAGGAAGTATAATGATCTGCCAGTGCGGTAGAATAATTTAACCTGGTTAGATTTCTTTATATAAGTAAAAATGTCTAGAGTGTCAAAAGTATCATTAAATTCAACTACTTTATGGCACACTGCGACCCAGAAGGATAAGCGGTTTAGATGATGTATGTATGTATACTTTATGGCACACCCATTGCTGACACGGGTGTTCAACTGTGCACACACAGTTGGTATAATCTCCATCGAAATGCATTGTCATTGGAATGAATGGGATACTCTGGAGAAGCCACACATGAGCCTGAGGTCATCATGACCAATACTAAGTGTTGACTAGGGGAGTACAAAGCCCCCAGGACTGGGTTGTTGAGCAGTAGAACTGCGTTTTCTGGAGTGATCCACTATCCAATAGCTTTGGGATGAGTTGGAGTAGCGTTTGCGATCCAGATCTCATCATCTAACATTAGTACCCGACCTTACTACTGCTCTTGTGGCTGAATGCAATCAAATCCTTATAGCAATGTTTCAACATTTAAAGTCTTCCCAGAAGACTAGAGCCTATTACTGCAGCAAAGGAGTGACACACTTCCCAATAATACCCATGATTTCAGAATAAACGTGCAAAAGTCCACATTTCTGGAAAAGTCAGAAGACCACACTTCATTTATGTAATTTCCAGTCAAAACAACCTTTAAGTACAAGTTATTCCAGCACTAGGAAAAAGGCAGAATATATGTATTTAACAGAAAATTACACAGAAGCCTCAACATTTTTCAGTATTTACTGTGTCCACACTTTGCCTTTATTACAGCTGCCTTTATTTTTACCACACTTGCTTTCAGCCGTTTAAAGAAATCTGCATGGTTATTTTTACACACCTCAAAAATTGAGTCTTAGAAGTTGGTTGCATTTTCTGCTCCTTTGATCCAAATAATCCCAAACATATTCAATGATGTTGTGGTCTGGACTCTGGTGGCCAATTTGTTGTTTTTTGAACTCCAGCAGCTTCAATTAAAAATTTCTTCTTTATTAGTAACTTTACTTTTCCATCTTCCGGAAACAGCTGTAGATGTTTTCAGAGTGGAGCTTGATTTTCTCCTGTCTCTCAAAGATGATAGCTTTAAGTGCTGTTTATTTGACAGTGACAGTTCTGGAGGTCCAGCAGGTCTTGCATGACTTTTAAGAGCAACATTTTCTTGATATAAAAATGAATAATTTGTACTTAATGGAGATATTGACCGGACATTAAATAGATGTAGGGTGGTCTCTTTCTTTTGCACAGTACTGCAGACTCTCACACCTGACTATCAGAGTGGCATTTTCTAAAAGACCTATAAGATATAACTGTCTTGCTTAGTCCATTATGCTCTATGGTGAAATGACTGCAAGTTTAACAGAGCAAACTGCGTCCTGAGTCAGCACTCTTGAAATTTGGGAACATACCCAGATGTGTGTGTGTGTGTGTGTGTGGGGAGGGGATAATTCTGTGTCCATAAAGTTTCTGTCGACCCAGACATGGAATGGGATGGGGGTTGGGGGTCTCTCTCTCTCTTTCTCCCTGTGTGCTTCTTTTATATTATATCTCCGTTTTTCTGGCCGACCGAAGGAATGTCTGATGCAGTGGGACCGGGCCGCCGCTCTCCTGCTGCTGTGCTCTGAAACGAGAGAGCGAAAAAAAGAGGGAAAGAGGGAAAGTTCGAGACTAGACCACAGAAATGTAAACACGTCTGGAGCTAAAATAACTCGCCGTTCATTGAAAACACCCCTTCGGTGACAGCACTGAGAGCTACACCCTCGACTACGCTCGACAAAACTGCGCACACTGCCCCAAAAGGGAGAGTGTGTCCAGTCCCTCTACAGGCTTTTGTATCCCAGTTAAAGATGGTAAGAATTTCAGACAAAGTTTCCAAACTCACTCACATGGAAAATAAGTCGCTAGGTATCCAGATGTCCTTTTAAATTGAAGTGCACACATTGGTGATACAGGCGTTCAACTGCATACAATCCCTACAAATAAGCTTTGCCAATAGAAGGAGATGCTCTGGACCTGTTGTGCATAAGCCTAAATCATCTTGAGGGGTTTAAACGCCATCTTTGGGATGTGTTGGAGTGACATTTGTGATCTAATCATCCAACATCAGCACCTGACCTCACTAATTCTCTTGTGGCTGAATGCAGTCAAATCCTCACAGCAATGTTCCAATGTCTAGTGCAAAGCCTTCCCAGAAGAGTAGAGCCCTCCTCGTACTTTCAGGTCCAGTAGCAGCAGTTTACTCAGTCCCTTATACTCAATGGGGGGCAGATTTTTCAGTGCTGGAGACCCTAAACTGTGGAATTCCCTCTTACAATCTCTTCAAAACTATCCTATTTCCTTCTTTTACTCTCTTCTGAAGACTTGCCTCAATGGTCAGGACCCCCAACAAAGCAGATGTTATTTGTACGGTGGATAATTCTCAGCACTGCAGTAACACTGACGTAGTGGTGGTGTGTGTTGCGCTGGTGCGAGTGGATCAGACGCAGCAGTGCTGCTGGAGTTTTTAAACACTGTGTCCACTCACTGTCCACTCTATTAGACACTCCTACCTTGTCAGTCCACCTTGTAGATGTAAACTCAGAGATGATAGCTCATCTGCTGCTGCACAGTTTGTGTTGGTCATCCTCTAGTCCTTCATTAGTGGTCACAGGACGCTGCCCACAGGACGCTGTTGGCTGGATATTTTTGGTTGGTGGACTATTCTCAGTCCAGCAGTGACACTGAGGTGTTTAAAAACTCCAGCAGCACTGCTGTGTCTGATCCACTCAGACCAGCGCAACACACAGTAACACACCACCACCACGTCAGTGTTACTGCAGTGCTGAGATGATAAAAGGGAAAATTGTGTGTGGGGGGTAGAAACAAGAAAGTGGTTGTAATGTTATGGGCTATTTGTGTATATAAATCATTATTATTATTATTATTATTTTTATTATTATTATAAGTGTGCAACACTATTGTTATCAGTATATATTTCTTCTTCTTTGTCTTCCAGATATTTGTCTGCTCACTCATCCCACAGTTTCCGAGATATCGACACCATCGTTCCAACTCCAGAATGTTCGGTCTGATAATGGTAATGGTGTGCTAGTATACAGCTCTTTGATCAGACATTCAGTTTTCATACAATTATAGTTAAATGACAACCTAGAAACACCCTAGCAACCACCTGGGATACCATAGCAACCACTTATGAACACTTTTTCAACCACCTAAAATACCATAGCAACCATTCGCCAACACCTAGCAACCACCTGTGATACCACAGCAACCATCAACACCTTTGCAACCACCTAAAATACCATAGCAACTATTCGCCAACACGTAGCAACACCCTGGGAACTGCTTAAAACCTCTTCAACTCCTTGAGACCACCGGTGAGTCCAAAACGCACTTCGTCATATTCTTCATAACTTTCATATTTCATAAGCTACATTCAAAAGGTGGGGGTCGTATGAGAGCTGTAACTGTTTTCTTTCCAGTCAAATAGATGGGTGATGTAATTTTAAACCCTTATGATAAAAGAAGCTGAACTCACTATTTGTTTTTCTACTGAAAGTCGACCCATTTTTCCACAAATCTGGGCTATAAACTATAAACAGATGGCGTCTCTTCAGTGATCTGCTCTGTACAAATTATTTTTATAAAATAATACAAAGAGCGTCTAAGATTTTTGGCTTTCAGCAGTAAATTGTAAGCATATGGCAATATGTGTGATCATAAAACACATGTTCTGTTAAGTTGAGGGGAGCTTTTACAAAAAAATAAAAAATAAAATAAAAATTTACATTTATTTCATGCAGTTACTGAATAATTTGCCTTACGATTTGGTCATGTAAATTCAGATGGACAAACCAAAATATACCCTGGAGAATAAGAGGTGAAGCTGCGCCTTAACTCTGCACTTTCTTTGCAAAATGCAATAATTATTATTAATATTAATATGATTATTACCAGTAATTGTTACTGCAGCAAAGGGGCAAACCCTCTAGTAATACCCTTGACTTGTGGAAGAAAAGTTGGATGAGCCGCTGTAAAATCTGATAGCCTAAATATCTGGTCTGAGCAGTAAAAAGGGTCAAACTAACAGAGAAAGGTTTGAAAGCTTTTTTGAATCGTGGCTTTGCCTTTGTGAACGTCTCATTTACAGCCAGAGACTACAGCAGCAGCAGATTCCTTTCCCCTGCTGGAGACAGTCAGAGCCATTAGAGACAGATTCTGCCCGTGAGGAGGCAATTAAAGTCAATTACCTCCAAATTAAGTTCAATTTGTTCAGTCTCGAGAAAGAACAGCTCACGTAATGCGCAGAAAAAAGAAAAAAAAAAACACTGCAGTCTGCATTCACACATCACATGCAGCTCTGACTTGGGACTCGAGTGACATCAATTCCACACTAATCTCTCTCTCTCTCTCTCTCTCTCTCTCTCTCTCTCTCCTCGCCCTCGCAGTACTATTTTTCTCTAAACTTTGCTCGCGCCCTCAGCCGTCCGACTGCACGCGTTTCTGCCGCTTTTTTTTTGTTTTTCTACTCGTACAATCTGCATTAATGTCTGTTGGCTGGCGCTCTGTGATCTTCCTCCACTCAGCGGGGCCGCTCCTGAGCTCGACTCCTCTTCGCTCCTCACTGTAAGTAGCCCGTAGCCTCCGTACCTCTCTCTCCCTCTCTGAGCTCCTCTCTGAGGATGCTCACCGCTGTCTTATCTCCTGTTCGGTCGGACCCACGGGGTGGGGGGGGGGGCGCGGGGTGGGGGTGGCGCTGAGGTCACGCGCGCTTCTCTCCAGGGAAAGACGCTTCAGACTGTCAGTCGACGCTTTTGCGGCTGAAGTGAATGAAACTTTTCGAGAGCTTCTGTCTCCGTGAGATCTCGGTGCGAGCCGCTCGCTGGCAGCCGCGCCGCGGTGCTGGTGGTGGTACGACCCGCAGAGTCTCACAAACAACGCGAGCAGAAAGCACCAAAACAACTCGCTGCGCTGTGGGAGAGCAGAAAAACAGCTGCCGCCTGCGCCGTGACGGCCAAACCGCCACGGATAACTTCTTTACTCGAACTGTATTATTTTATCCCACTGTAAATATTCGGTTTAAATGACTGAGCAGTCTTTGAGTCCATGTTTAAAACTGTCATACTATTTTGGACGAGTAGTTCTAAGCTCTTCTAAGGCTGCGTCCAAAAAACGCACCACTGCACTATCCATACTACACTAATGACTGGACTGTTGTACTCTGACATACTATTTAGTATGCTAGTATGCTTTTTTGGACGCAGCCTAAATGGCTTGGTTTGACACAATCTGTGAATCATAAATGGCTTCCAAGTGAACTTCAAGTTTATTTGTCTTTTGCACAACATGTCAGGACAGTCATGCATTGAGATGCTTGTGGTGAGGCTCAGCTAATCACTGTACAGCAGGGCAGCGTTATATACATACTAAAAACAGTGCAGACAAAACAAAACAATACAAACAGAAAAGACTAAAACTGAAATATACACAAAATATAGAGGCCTATGTAAGAAAAACTCTCTGCTATGTACAAATACATTAAACAAGGGATAATCTGAGAGGAATATATATATACATTTTAAAGTGACTTGTGGCTGGTGTTATTGCCCATAGCAGCGATATGATATAATAAACAATACTAACAAAGTGACCGAGTGAAATGGTCATGGGGGAATGACCCACAGCATCACAGCTTGTTCAGGGGCCTAACAGCCTGTGGGTAGAAACTGTTCATTAGACTCAACTTTTTGAGTACGTAGTGAATTCGCCTGGGTAGATAGTAAGGAGACAATTGAGACTAAACCTGACACTCACAGACTGACTGACTGAGGCTGGACTTATAATGACTGTAGAAGCCTTTAGTTCATGACCTATAAAGTGCGCCATATAGGGAATAAGGAGGCATTTGGGACGAAGTCTGATAGACTGAATCTACTTGGACATTTAGTGGAATATTTGTGGAAGACATTATTGTATGACTTGTAGATTATATAGGGAGTAAGGAGCTATTTGACATTCAGCTAATGACTGAGTTCTTGTTACTAAGGGGTCTGACAAGAGTGGTATTTACACATTTAATATATTTCTGATGGGCTAGGACTGATCTAACCCTGTATTGCATGAACTATTACTTAAACATGATAAAAATGTATTAATGTGCTTGTATTATGTACATTTTTTTAGATAATGGAAATATTTTAAATAAAATAATTTTTATTTTTTTAAAGAGTGGTAGTTGGTAAAATCAAACTTTTCTCTAAAAACCTCCTTTTATTGAAAACGAGACTATCGAATTTCAACTTATACTTAGTGAATTTATAACCCAATATATACACAGTTTAATCAATACGGGTTCAATTGTTATGTGGTAATGTGGGTCATAATAACATCGTAATAAGATACATTACATACAAGTTACATACATCAGTAGTAAGACATTTGAACATAATTTTCTTGATGTGAAACCAATTTATTTCTTATTTAATTTTATTTAATTATTTTCATTGAATATCATTCATTTAGTCATCATCAACAAGTTTTTTTGATTAGAAATCTACACAACAGTGAACCAATGTATAAGTCGGATGGGATACTACAATTCCTTTTGTTAAAACTATGATTTCCAGTGGTGTAATTTATAATCCAGATAATAAATTGAAGTTACAAAATGTCTAAAATTAGAAAATTTAAATAAAAATAATGTTTTTTCCTTTTAAATGTTAAAGTTCATTTAAACTAGACAGTATTTCAGTTTTTTCTTGAAGGAATTTTTCCTAAATATTAAACAGTTATTTAACTTTGGGAGTCTTATGTCATGACCTTCTCAGTGTCAAGTGTCTGTGGAAAAAAGCAAGTGCAGGATTTTCTGGTCACGTGATGTCATCAAGCATTTGTCCTTTCAAAGTAAAAGACCATTTTTCCACAATTAAACAGTAGAGCATGAATTTGATTTTATGAATTTTGTATTACTGCCTTTTATTTCTTTCATTGAGATAAACTAATTGTTGCCATATGGCAACAATATACAATAGAGGGCTAATAAGACATAGGAAAGGCAGGCTATTTCTTTTCTATATTGCTACATTGTTATGTAGGCTTGAACCGAATGTAGTTTTTTAAATTAAACTGTTTTAGTTGAACCCTCTATTGCACGGTGTTGCCATATGGCAACAATTACTTTATCTCAATTTTACTAAAAAGCAGTTATATAAAAACTGTGTTTTCCTATTTAATTGTGGGAAAAGGGTCTTTTACTTTGAAAGGACAAATAATGTATGACATCACATGACCAGGAATTCTTAGTATGATGTTGTGATAGTCCAAATACCAATTGAAAATGTATTAATTTACAATATTTGTGAATTTTGGGTCGTACGTTTTTACTAAGTATAAGTTGGACTTGTTTGGTCTTGTTTTTTAATAAAAAGATGTTTTTAGAGAAAAATTAGATTTTCTGGTGCTTTTTTTAGATTTTATAGTGCTATGGTATGATTGCATTGTTGCCATATGGCAACAATTTACCAAATACCCCACTTTGAAAAAAAAAAATGTATTTTTTTTCACGTTTCCATTATTTAAGCAATTTTAAATACCAAAAACACATTAAAACTAATAATTCATGCAATAGAGGGTTAATGCACCAGTATTTAAACATGCAATGGAAAGAATGAGAAATATGGATGTGCGAATATGGGCATTTATGCATGCATCTGAGTATGCGCGTCTGTGTGTCAATGACCATATTGTTCTCTCTATTAGTGCATTAGATGAAAAACATGATATACTGTACCTACATTCTTGGAAAAAGAGATCACAGAGATAATCTGCTGAAACGGGTGAGGTCCTCTACACTAAAGCAGCCTATGCTCGGTATTAGTTAGACACTGTTAAAGCTGTTATGGCCTGGTCAGACATTAACTGTTCTTTGTGTTCTTGTTATAATGTGAGATTTAAGGTATTTATTGACTCACATGTAGAATAATATGGTTGAAAATTGTATCTCAATATTTTTCAGCCTTTTTTTGGTGATAAACAGTATATATCTTGATATTCATTATCTCTGAAAAAAGGAGTCGTTATTCAATCAGAAGGATCAAAATTTATACAAATTATTGCCAAGTGGACTCAAAAGGCTTATTGAAATAAAATATGGAACATGGTTTTACAGACCAACATAAGCATTAACACCAGTAGCATCTTTCACCTCGGAGCTCTTGGTTGCTCCTGTGATTCATTTGATTCTTTTAAAGCTCCAAACCGAAGCAGAGCTGACAACTCCAGCACACTCACAGCGCTGCTGCAGTGCTTGACTTCCTTTTGGCATTGACCATTTTTAACAGAATGGGCTGTTACCCAGTGTCTCTGTCTCGCATTGGCTAAAATAAAAATGATAACTTTGTTGCTTTAACTGATCGATTAATCCATTTCTTCACTTTTTTCATGTGATTGTTTAATAAAAAGTGAATTGAAGTGAAAAAAAAAATCACATCTGCTTTTTCATCTGTAAAAATGATGTCGGCCTCATGACGACTAAACGTTAAGAATTAAAAATACTGTTTCTGAAGATGTTTTGTTAGTGTGACATTCACTCTCAGGACATCCTACTGCTGATAATGGTCATGCTTACAAAATGAATTAAAAAAACAATCTTATAGATATCATGGCTATTATCAGTAATTAGCAATAAATTGATAAGTGGTCCCATTCCTAGTTATTTGTTTTTAAAAACAATGATATAGTATATATATCACCAAATATATCCCAAAATGGTAACTTTACAGGAATAGCAAAAAGCATAATTTACTATTAATGTAAGTCAATGGAACCAGAAATTTTTCCAGGTAATTTTGGGCCATTTCTTTTGGCCCACACAATGTAAAGGACTATACACACACAGACACACACACACACACGCACACACACACACACACATACACACACACACACACATATATATATATATATATATATATATATATATATATATATATATATCTAGCATTTCTAGATTTCTAGTGTTTAGAACCCAGAACCCAGGGCACAGACCCTGTCTATCTATATGGAGTAAAGCCTTGCATATGATATTTGTAGAGATGGCACTGATCTGATACCCAGTGTTGACATCGGGCCAATAACAGCAGAAAATACTTGACTGGATATCAGAGGAAAGAAAGAATATATTATATCTGATTCTAGCAGCAAAGCCTAACATTAACATAAGAACAATGTGTAGCTCGCTACAAATATAAGTATTACGTTACAATTACAGTTCCCTTTTTAAAATTATGCCTGTCACATTTTCCCACTATTTTATTTTTTTTTTGGTCAAAAAGTTGCATGTCATGTTGTTGGCTAATAGCCAGTGGCTACATGTATATCTTCCTGTAGGGTAGTAGAGTGTGTATTTAAGAAGTTTTAACATAGGCCTCTGAAGTTGTGTCATCATTTTAGGAATTTTTCTGTGACAAAAATGGATGTGGTTTTCAAAAATCACCCCTGTTACATCCTGTGGTAAACTAAAATAATCCAAAGCTGATGGATTTTGCTGCATAGATGTTTTTCCTCTGAATGTCACCAGATCCTCTGAATTACAAGGTCATTAAGAATCTGAAATATTAGACTAGAAT